GGCACTGACCAAGTAAAACTAGGAAAGTACTTATTCAATATTTTCCTATGGGAAACCCTGGATGTGTGCATGATGCTCACTGCACATGTGCATCAGGTCCCCAATGCTACTCTACAAGCTGGAGGAGGACATGCCTTCTTCAGGACATTGTGGGAGGGGGAGCAGCAAAAAGCACAGATGGCGCTTTGAAGATAGAAAAAGGTAAGTAAAACATTAATATTTTACAATGTTATTGCATACAGGGGAAGGAGACACTCAAATACATATGGGGATGAGAACACTAGAACATAGGGATACAAGTTTGTATCCCGAACGTTTTAATGTTCCTTTAATTTAAGGTAAATACATTTTCAATTTATCTATAATACAGAATATACAGTAAATATTATAAATATGGTGGAAGTGTACTAACCTGTCAGTATTTCTTTTCGTACTTTAAATGTGTCTACAATAGGTGTGATTATACCAGACATTGTGCCAATCATACTTCCTAGCCCAAGGTTAATCAGCATGAAGAAAAACATAACAGACCAGAATGGCGAGGCAGGGAAATGAGTCATGGCCTCTGTAAATGCTATGAAAGCCAACCCCGTTCCTTGAACTGCCTGCAAAGAGAGACAATGACACCCCTGAGTTGTCAAATAATACCAGTATATCAAAAGCATCAAGAGAAAAAATAAATCTCACAATTTAAAATAATAATTAGCAACACCTTGTGTGTAATGCACTTTATAGTCATTCAGTTTAATCAATATTACACAATTATTATTTTAAGCACTTTATTTGATATTTTGTGCACTTTTTATAAATTCTCTGAACTTTCTGCAAATTGTAATTAATAAAATGACATAATTATGTAAAAATATTACATAAATATATACGTAAAATTTCTATATACATATACATATATATATATATATATATATATACATACTTTTTTTATTATTTAAATTTATATATAGGTATATATATAGTGATATATATATATGTATATAGATATATATTATTTAGTTCTATTTCGTTCTAAGTTTATTTTGATATCAATATATATTAATATCAAAATACAGTTAGAATGAAATTACACATATATATATATTTTTTAATTATTAATTTTTCATTATTTTTGTACGGTAAGGTATGGAGGACACTATCAACCCTTAATACTGGACACTGTAATTTTATTGTATTTTAACTACTTGTATATTTTTTTAAACAATGTATCTTTTACCACTATTTCTTTGTCATTGTAACATATCTTTGCATGCTTGTTCTTTATTTTATGTGTGTATATGTTTGTGTATGTATGTGTGTATATATACACATGTGCTACTCGATGCAAAAGCCACTCCAACACGTCCACACTCGACACCATGTGCTACCCACTGGCTCCAGCATGCAGGGGGACGATGCTATAAACCTCCCAGGTGCAATGCATCCTGGGGAAACTTGCTTTGTATTGCAAAACAAATTTGTAAACCGAGGCATTATTTTCAATGGATTTTCATTTGTAAACCGAAAATTATGTTAACCAAGGCGATTGTAAACCGAGGTCCCACTGTATATAGATTTCCACCATGCCGAATTAAGTTTTTTAGGTTATATTTTCTAAATAAAGTTTATGGTTTAGAAATCAATTATTAGCTTAAATCTGACTTTTCATATATGTGCATTTTTCAGCTGTTTATGCACCTTTGTATATAACAAGTAAAATGATAATATATTTATAATAATTCATTTAACTTGTATGTATAATAATGTTCTATTGTTTCTACTTGTATATATTATGTATTATATAGTTATATTCTGTAACTGTTGCTATAGCTTTATTTGGTTTTGATTTCTGATGACAACTCATAAAGAACAGTGCTGCATTATAGTGCTGTATTCATGTTTCAAATTACTTTTTAGCAGCATAAATTGCTATTAGTTAGTTACCAAAACCACTCACACCTCTAAAAAACAAAGTATCCCTATCTTTGTCCATTTGAAATGTTGGAAGGTATGCCATAAAGTATGTATAGAATCATGGAAGTTGTAGTTCAGCTGGAGATGTATCTTATGTAAAACACGTGTTTTAAAATGTTATACACACTTTTCCCTTAGCTTCATTACATAGTTACATAGCTGAAAAGACATACATCCATCAAGTTCAGCCTTTATCACATCTCTTTGATGTTGATCCAAAAACTGGAGCACTTTCCAATTAGGAAAATATTCCTTCTTGACTCCAGAATAGCAGTCAGATCTCTCCTTGGTTCAAGAAGCTATTACCCAACTAATTAAAAATTATATTCCTGATTTTGCAAGTATTCATCCAATTGCTGATTAAACATCTGTATAGACTCTGATAAAACCTAC